ATCTCAAGTCTTGTTGTGGTGTGCAATCATGTTGTAGATTCAGTTTCTTAATCTGAACTCTGGAAAAACAGTAGCAGAATCATCTTCTTCTTCTTCGCCATCACGAACACATCCTCTAGGGTACAAAAACTCATCCTCACTATCAATCTCCGACTCGGAATCAATTCCAACATGGTCAGAAGCCTCTGGATCAAGCCTACTTAAGTTTCTTGAGGATGCTTGTGTTTGACAACTCTGGCGTTTACGTCGAGCACGTGTAGGGGGAATAGAAGGTGTAGTACGTGGTAGTTGTCAATGGCGGCTGCTCGTCCACTCGGTCCTCCAAGTCAGAGTCATCGAACACATCCACGTCATTATCTTTGAACGCTGAATAAAGAGGAACATCTTGATCCACTCCCTCCTCAATATCATTGGCATTCTCATCCTCATCATCTCCATCCCCTGATTCATTACGTTCAACTAGCCCATGTGCTTTAGAAACAAAACTTGGCGGTTGAGTAGGTTCTTCGTAGTTAACTTGAGTAAGCCATGAGGCATGTCCTTCACTTGCAATTTCAGTTTGACATTGCGTTAGCCCTGTCCGAGATGAGATGGTTGATAGAGCGCAGAGCTTGCCGGTGGAGTTTTTAATTTTAGGGTTTTTTTGGGAGACAAAACCAAAAACAAAAAACAAAAGACGATCGATAAGCAATCGAATAGAGAGGAAATATAAAGGGAAGAAATAGGGAAAAGAGATGGGATGGCGGCGATGGTTGCCAGCGCCGGCTGGAATTTGGAAGGTTGGGAAAATGGGAAAGAGATGAAATAATATACTAGTTCTATTGTACTGGAGAATCTTCTTTTTTGTTCTTTTTAGGGTGATGGAAAGTTAGGTCACGTGAATGGGGTGGGGGAAGGGGCAGAGAATATAAATTGGGTTTGGTGTATGAGAGGTTTAATCATTTTATAATTTTGTTTAATGGAAAGCTTAGTGGTTTGGTTTAGGTCGGGTAAGAATGGGTTAGTGGTCAAGTTCCAAACTCCAACGAAGCAGGTAGAGTGACGTGGCTAGTCTTGTTGGCATGCTGACTGGACTTTTTTAACGTAATAATGGACGGAGTTAGCGATAGTGACCGTCTCGTTACCACTAATAAATTCCAGTGACTAGTTTGTTACATATGAAATCTGAGTGACGAGTTTGTTACAGTTTACATAATTGAGTGACGGTTTAAGTAATTACCCCTAGGTTTTTACTTAAAAATATCGCCAATCCGACCCAACCCAAACCCATTAGAAAAAAACCGCAGGATTTAGATTTTTTTGGGTGGGTTTGGGTTTAATATTTCTCAAACCGTAGTGCATGGGTCGGGTGATTAAAATGTCTAAAATCGCACCACCCGACCCATGTACACCCCTACCAAGCAGTACCACTATGGTACATACTGGTACTGAATGTCTCAAAAAAATTATTCCGATAATATATCAAAGTGAATATCATTTTGAAAAATACAATTTATTTGATTTATCTGTTAAAAAAAAATTTAAATTCCGACTTAAAATGAAAGAGATATAACCCTTTAAATTTAAAGGGGAAATGATCAGGGGTCTTCCATATACGATGATGTGGCAGGTTATACGAGGTTATTGACCATAAAGTTAAACATCTGATCCGCTCTCTCCGGCAGGGCTGGAAAAATAGACCAGACCGTTTGAAAAAGTTTGGACCAAACCAGATCGCACAGTTTGATCCGGACCATAGACCGTGAAGAATGGTCTGGTCAATGGTCTGCATTATATGAAGTTTTGATCTCTTGGTCTGGTGTGGTCTAGACCGCGGTTTACCGGACCAAACCGTTGATCTAGCCGACTTCCCAATACATGTTAGTATCCCACTCGACCACTCTCCCAACTCCCCCAACGAGACTCAAGTCTTGAGAATCTCGTCCCCTCCTTCACTGAAACCACATTTCACTAGAGAAGAGAGACGATCATGTCTTCATATGACATTATGTTAATGTTTGTGACGTTATGGTGCGAGTTGGGATTCTTCGACTTTAATCTTTGTTATTTACTAAGATTTAGGGTGTCAAAATAATTCATGCATGTTGGATATTATGTTTTAAGGCAAACAAAAAAAACTCCTCAGTTATTGGTTCAATTTTTAGTGTGGTTGACTTAAAAAAAGTGTTCACTTTTGTTCAGTGTGGTTTGCCTGGATAAGATCAGACCGCACAGGCGTGGTCTGGTCTGGACCGTATAATACGCCAGGGTTAATCCGCTAACTGCATTATTCATTAGCAGATACTCACAGGGCCGGATTTTGGGCCACGTCGGCCCATGTTTCATCCAACGGAGGAGAGAGTCGGCGTGGTGGTGGCTCACTTAAGTGATCTGGAGATGGGCTTCCGTGTAGAAGCCGGCCCAGCGTGCAGCGCAGAAGACGAGCCGATTAATGGCTTTGTGGGCCCGACTTCAGTTTGGGCGGGATTTTGGAGAGGAGTGGAAAGAAAACGAAAATTGTGGGCCTGCGTGGCCATGTGATATTTAAGTATGTATGTTTGTGTGGATATTTATTTGTTATCAGTCGATATTATTCTGTGTTGATGTTACTTTGCATCATTGTTGAAATGAACTAGTATTCTTCCGTCGCAAACCAATATCCATCATTAAACTAATGTTTAACGACGACCCAAAATAACCCAACTACTCGAAACTGATTACACCAATTTAGACTTCATGTTTTAGGGTTTAGGGTTCGGGTTTTCAATTTGTGAAGGATTGGAATATTGTGTCTTACATCAAATTAAACACACTATCAAGTCCTACACACTATCAAGTCCTAATACATAAGGCTTGCAACCTTAGTTAGAGCTGCCCGCCGAGGGCCCATGGGCCGAAGGCCCATTAAATAATGATAGTTTTATGGTTTTGGGTCTGTGTTACGGTTTCGCGTTAAGGGTTTAGGGTCTAGCTTAGGTTTGAATTGATATTAGTTCATGTTTGGAAAATTTTTTGGACTTTTGATATTCTAATAGGGCACTTTTGGTAACTATTAAGATGTTTTCCAACATTTATTTAAACATCTAGCACTTTTGGTAACTATTTGGATTAGTGTACAACTATCATATATTAGTTAGTGTGTGGTGGATATTATTTAGTATATGGTGGATGTTAGTCATTGGGTTGTGGATATTAGTATGTTATATTTACAATATTATTTAGTTTACACTAGATATTTGTCTGAGATGTTTGGATATTGTTCTGGTTTGTGTTAAGGTTTAGGATTTAGGGTTTAATGGTTTAGTTTTGAGGGTTTAGTTTTGGTTTGAATTTATATTAGTTCATGTTTTTGTATATTTGACTAGGACGTTTGGATATTCTAATGAGGCACTTTTGGTAACTGCCCATTAAATAGTAATAGTTTTTATGGTTTAAGGTTTGTGTTGGGAAGAGGGTTTAAGGGTTTTGGGTCTATATTTGGTTTGAAGTGACATTAGTTCATGTTTTTTGAAATTTTCTTGGACGTTGGTATATTCTAATGTGGCACTTTTGGTAACTATTAAGATGTTGTCCAACGTTTATTTAACCATCTAGCACTTTTGGTAACTATTTGGATTAGTGTACAACTATAAGATATTAGTCAGTGTGTGGTGGATATTATTTAGTATATGGTGGATATTGTTTAGTGTGTGGTGGATGTAGTCAATGTGTTGTGGATATTATTCTGTTATATTTACAATATTATTTAGGTTACACTAAATTTTTTTCCGAGATGTTTGGATATTGTTCTGTAGGGTTTGTGTTAAGGTTTAGGGTTTAATGGTTTGTTTTGAGGGTTTAGTTTTGGTTGAATTTATATTAGTTCATGTTTTGGTATATTTGACTGAGACGTTTGGATATTCTAATGAGGCACTTTTGGTAACTGCCCATTAAATAATAATAGTTTTTATGGTTTAGGGTTTGTGTTAGGAAGAGGGTTAAGGGTTTTGGGTCCAGCTTTGGTTTGAAGTGATATTAGTTCATGTTTTTCGGAAATTTTCTTGGACGTTTGTATATTCTAATGGGGCACTTTTGGTAACTATTAAGATGTTGTCCAACGTTTATTTAAGCATCTAGCACTTTTGGTAACTATTTGGATTAGTGTACAACTATCCTATATTAGTTAGTGTGTGGTGGATGTTAGTCAGTGTGTTGTGGATATTATTTAGTGTGTGTTGGATGTTAGTCAGTGTGTTGTGGATTTTAGTCTGTAATATTTACAATATTATTTAGGTGTCACTAGATATTTGTTAGAGATATTTGGATATTGTTCTGTAGGGTTTAGGGTTAAGGGTTTAATGGTTTAGTTTTTAGGGTTTAGTTTTGGCTTGAATTGATATTAGTTCATGTTTTGTGTATTGACTGGACGTTTGGATGTTCCAATGGAGAGCTTTTGGTAACTGCCCATTAAATAATAATAGTTTTATGGTTTAGGGTTTGTGTTGTGAAGAGTGTTTAGGTTCTAGCTTTGGTTTGAAGTGATATTAGTTCATGTTTTCGGAAATTTTCTTGGACGTTTGTATATTCTAATGGGGCACTTTTGGTAACTATTAAAATGTTGTCCAACATTTATTTAAACATCTAGCACTTTAGGTAACTATTTTCATTAGTGTACAACTATCAAATATTAGTTAGTGTGTGACGGATATTAGGCTGTTATATTTACAATATTATTTAGGTGTCACTAGATA